GCCTACTGGGATCCTCATATCACATGATGCTAATCACGTGATGTTAGGTATGTGAGATCCGTCGTAACACTGCAATCACCCACATCCAACCAATCCAACCCGGAAGCTTCCAGCTCTACCCAAAAAGAAAAGAAAAATTCAATATATAACATACTCATCCATACCTACCTAATGTATAATCCAAAAAATAAAAACACATACTACATTCCCCAAGATTTCGTTCCTGATTTCAATATCCCGGAATTGTACTTTACATACCTACCTAGGTACGCATCGTTTTCGAGCTAGCACCAACACTAGCATCTGTACTAGCAAATTACTTCAATATGTCTCATCGACGTCTGAACCAGTCCAGAAAAGCCGCAATCGATACCTCTGAAATCTTTGCTTCGGGGACTTTTAAAAATGTTTGGGTAATTATGCTAGATATTTATTACTTACCATTCTTTTCCATCTCACTCCCACTCCCACCCTCATTCTCCCTTCCTCTCAAATATCACTAATAACCCATTACCAGGCTGGTCGATACACCGAAGGACCCAGAAAAAGCCAAGCATGCGTATCCAAAGAATTCAAAACCGGCTCTGTAATCGAAGAGCACTATTTCGAAGAAGAACTCGAGATAATCCGACGCACGCAAGAAATCGTTGATGATTTCCACACGACGGGGATTATCGGAAATCGCGATATCATCGTCAATACGCCATCCATCTGGACCTATGAAGCAAGTGCGGGAAACAAGGCCGGAGTGAAAAGTTTGGTGGAACCTATGATTGAGAATTTCGAAAAATTTAATAGTAATACGGGATGGACGGGTCAGGATACAGTGTGGAATGATGCAATGCAGGCTTTGAGTCATTTTTCTTATCATGATTCGGATAGGGAGTTTTTGTTGTGTGATCTTCAGGGTGGTTCGTATAGTAATGGATAGTAAGTTTTTCTTGGTTTATATGTCGTTCCTTGCGCAGCGGAATCAATATCTTCTAATGAGACAATTAGTGTCCTATCGGATCCGGTAATCATGTCCAGAGCACAAGATTGCGGACCGGCTGATTTGGGAATCGATGGAATTAAATCTTTCTTTCAGCGTCATCGATGTGGTCGCTTTTGTGATCTGAATTGGATGAAACCTGCTATTACGGGGAAAGCTCCTATTCCTATGCGTCAGGGAACTAGTATGATTGCACGTCTTCCGACAAGACAAAGTCGTAATCCTTTGTCGAGATTGAGGGAGTGAGTGAGAGCATTGATGATTGATGTTGTGAGAGGGAGAGAGAGAGATATATGGGAAAAAATGGGTTTCTGATCTTTTGGTTGTATTGGTGGTATGGTTTGCTGCTTGTGTTTCGGGGCAATGATATTATGAGGTTGTAAGACAATCTTGCTGAGGATTTACTATTAGCTGTAGCTACTAGCTATAGGGCAATAGAACCTAGAATGTCATTTTCGAGGTTCGTAGAACTACCTAGTAGTTTCGTATTTGGCAATGAATTAAAGAATATCGGTAATCCATCTCCTTGATTAATATAATGAAAATAGTTGAGTGATTTCGTAAATTCAATAAAAGGTTACAGAATATCTTGGAGCTGGGAGAATTATTCTCGCGAGGATTTGCTGAATGTAGTGCATGTTTTGTTCTGAAAGAGGATAGATGAGGTCCAAAAGCTCGTTTACTAATATATTGGACTGGATGAGGTCATAACCTCAACTATTTAGGTACCTTTATAGATGATTGATTAATTAATTCTCTATTTTTTTTCCTTTGCATGCAAAAGTTTAGAATATACTCACTCACTTACTTCCTATACTATATCATCATATCCAGAAAATAATCGACAATATAATTATAACTATCCTTCATACGTAAATTTCCATTGCTGGCTGAGAAAGTAAGAAAACCCTCTTAGGGAAGAAATATAGAGTATAGTAAAGTTTATCTATTACTATTACATCTGATTGTTTTTTTTTTTTTCTGATTTCTTATTTCAGAAAAATCGATGTATTAGATTGTTCTTTAGTAGAAATGGATATTAGGTGTGGTGGGAATTTGGGGGAATGGAGTAAGTAGGTAGGTGGTTGGTTTTGGATGTATTTTCTTTTTTATCTCTGAGCAGAAAGGAGCTCGAGGGTTGGATGATTTTGGGGGTGTGATTCTTCTTTATATGTATTTTGCGTGGGGGTTTATAAAGATTTTATGGTTTGCCATTGTGGATGTTTTGTTGGTGAAATATTAATCATAGGGGGGGTCTGTATAGACGTCGTTATCTGCTTGAATCTTTGGTGGCAAAGGTACTCTGTACATGGGTGTGGTCGCAAATGCAGGTACAGACCAAAAGTAAGGAGTGCACACGGATTGAAAAGCGAGGCTTCCAAAGATATCGATAGATAGCTCATGGCCACAACTCTATTCCTGACTCAGCATATAATAACTAGTATCAAGAACAGCATGAATAAAGAAACAAAAAGAAGTTAATAAATGATTCCCATTGATATCCATTGATATCCATCCAACGTGGGTAAAATACGAGAAGTTATATAAATAAAAATCTTAAGCCAAATACCAGGTATATTCTTCAAAGTGGATTTTTAAGATGCAGTGTAGAATGCCAAGGAAGATCGATCTTTATCATCCGCATATCTGAGTCATCACATCGTCTTTTATATATTCATACCCGGCACTTCTATCATTCTTCTTCGAGCATCATCAATCTCTTACGGAGTGTAATAGAAAATATCTATTCTTGGCATTATTTTTAACTTTTTGAAAATGGATTTCACAATGAAATTTCATGAGAAACAACCAAATTCAATTGATCTCCTACGACCAAATTAACCATCCATTCTGTTGGACTGAGCGTGGGAATGATTTTCATTCAGGATCCTTGTATAGGATTGTCTTCATCCCCTAGATGTCCATGGAAATTATCTGATTCGGTGATATCTCCGTTGAAACAAGATCTTACCACTCACTCACTATGCCAATGGTAATTCTTGATCTCCCGTGATGTTCCCCCTTTTTCCAAATCTGAAACCTAATCTATCCAATTGGGAAATTCAAATTAAATTTTCGACAATCATCTTCCAACCCACCTTTTCGCTCTACCATTGAATTCATCAATTCACAAGGGTATCTTTGTACACTTCACTACAAACATGATGATGGTAGGTAGGGAAGCAATAGAAGGATAGAAGTTATACTTCGTACCTTACTACTAGTACCTTACTAGTACCTTACTAGTATCACTTTGTACATGCACGGTTCCATAAATTGATATGATTGGCGTTCGCGTTGCATTTGAATTTTTAATCTTCCCCATTTCCATCTCCATCCGTGAACCACTTAACCGTAACCGTTTGTCAATTGTAACCTCCACTTTCTTTAATGTCGTTTCTATTCCTATTCCTGCTCCTGTTCCTATTCCTTTCTCCTCTCAATCTCAATCTCAATTTTTAATTTCAGTCTTACTCTTTGACATTTTGACTATCTCATCACCTTCATTTTCATTCTCACTCTCATTTTGATTTTGATTTTTTGGTGCAGTTCTTGCACGTTACTCTCTTTCCAACAATCGCATTCGCCTTTTGATGAAGGCGATAATAAGTCATTCTTTAAAATCGCATCACAAATCTCAATATCAAATTGATTTGATTGGGATTTAATTATTACCACCCTCTTTTACGAAATACACAAACACATCCCAAACCCGACTTTCATTTAAACAAAATCCAATCATACATACAATTACCATTCGATACCGGAAAAAGACAAAGAAAACAATGCAGTTCAAATCCCTGCTTCTCATAGCAGGAGCAACTATCCTCTCACCATTCCTGGTTGAAGCTCAAACTTGGACCATTTGTAATCCTCTCAACCAAACATGTCCCAATGATCCAGCTTTGGGTACAAATCATACTTTTTATTTCAATACATCATCGACCGTCACCGATTACTACAATATCACCGCTGGAACTCTGGCATATGGTAATGATGGAGCTGAATTTACTATTGCCAAACAAGGTCAATCACCTACTATTCAGTCTAAATTCTTCATCTTTTTCGGTCAAGTATCCGTGGTTATGAAGGCTGCAACTGGTGTAGGAATTGTATCAAGTATTGTGTTGGAGAGTGACGATTTGGATGAAGTGGATTGGGAATTCATTGGAGGTAACAATACTCATGCCGAGACGAATTATTTTGGAAAGGGGAACACTACCGCTTATGATCGAGCGATTTGGTACCCAACTCCATCAGATCCCACAGCAAACTTTCATAACTACACTGTCGATTGGACTGCCGAAAGAATTCAATGGTGGATTGATGATAGTCTTGTTCGAACACTCGCATATGCCGATGCGCTTGGCGGCAAGAACTTTCCACAAACTCCAATGACAGTTCGATTGGGAATTTGGTCCGGTGGTGATCCAAAGGGTAATAGTGAAGGAACAATTGAATGGGCAGGTGGAGTAACTGATTTCAGCAAGACTCCATTTACTATGTATGTGAAAAGTGCAGCTATTCAGGATTATAGCACTGGTTCGGAATACCAATGGACAGATAAAACTGGAGATTGGCAATCCATCAAAGTAATCAGGTAAATTTATCAATATGTTTCATGATGTTAAGAAAAGGACGCTAATAAAATTTTTAAAGTGGTAATTCCACCGTCGCAAAAGCTATCACCGAAAACGCTACCCCAAAACTGACCCTAAGCGAAAAATGGCATAGGCTCTCGAAAGGCGTCAAACTTACCATCTACTGTTTATGTGGTGCCGTAGCCGCCGCTCTTATCTCCTTATTCCTCTTTACTTTCTTCCGTCAACGTCGTAACGGACGTTTAGAACGTGAAGCCTACAACCAATTGATTGAAAAGCAACAACAAGATAACCAAATAGAAATGAACAACAAGGGATTTGGCGGCTTTGACGACGCATCCGGAGGCTTGGGAGATGATCATGGGACAGGATATGTAGGACCTGTTGGTAGCGCGAGCGCAAACGCTTTGGCGACCGGAAGTCCAGTGGTACAGGCGGGTCAGCATGGTCCTAGAAGTCCGACGATGGTTGAACATAGTGGTGAGATGAGTCCTCAAACTGCGGAATTTCCTCAACAGCCGAGATTTGGAAGTACGACGAATGGGGGTTCTTACGTGAAGATGTGAGTTGGAGAGGGGAAAGAAAGAATAAAGTAGGAATATCTAGCTGAGATCATGGTCAATATTGATGGAGAAATAAAGATGAAGATGAAGATGCAAAGTGGAGTAATAAGGTGTAGGGAGTTTTTATGTAAATGAATTTTCTTTACACTATTTACACATCAAACGGATGCTGTTCAGCATAGTAAATCTTTGGACAAGGGAAATTTGAATTCCTAGGCGACTATAGGATAGGTTTATAGGCTTGCATTTTCTACTTTTTTAAGGCTTATAGTTTTTTAAATGTTATATAAATCTATAGTTTTTGTATTTAAAGAATACGTCTTGATATGTCTAGAGATACTAATATTATACTCTACAGTCTGTGCCAACTCCTATTAGCCATTTTCAAAATTCACAGCCAAAATAAACAATTTACTGCTTTGTTACGAGGTTTGCCGTCTAGATCATGTGGAAGTGCTCTAGGCTCTCGAAGTGGTTTATAACTAGGCATCAAGCAGGGACTTAAAGTAATGACAATAATGCAATTCGTAACTAATAGTAGAGTATACTAAATGATTGATCTTGAGCACGAAGCTCTATACAAAGGAAATTCATCTTGATTATATAGACCTTCATGCCTATGGCTAGTCAGGACCGCGCAGCGGTCCATAACGTGACTTAATCACGTTACCTTGGTTTAGTCATGTGACGCGGCGTAGAAGATAGCCGTCGTAACAAATCAGGAGAGGGATTCATTTTTACTCTTTTCTTATACAATAAATGAATTTTTTGGGGTGGGGGGGGTTAAAAGAAGGTTTTGATAATTGTATACTTTGTTTTGTTCTGTTTTGTAATTAAACTGAGTTAAATTGAGCTTTTATATTATATATATATGTATTTGTCCTGTTGAATTAAATGTCTATTTTGTGTAAGTTTATTATAATTATAATTATAAGATCTTATTATTGTTAATTGTTGCTAATTTCTTAATACTAATGGTATTAGGAGCTAAACACGTTGAGTCACCATATGTAGAATTTGGACAAATAAGTACAGTTATTTATTTTGCCCATTTCTTGATTATAGTACCTTTCATTAGTTTACTAGAAAATAATTTAGTAGAGTTAGGGTTACCGGAATCTAACTCTGTAATGGGTAAATCTACACATTCGTTAGTTAGCGTTAAATAGTGTATGTGTTCATGGAATTACAGGTGTTTGCACACTATGTGCTAGTATTGCAAAACAAAATGTAACTTTGCTTCATAATCATCAATGAGTTGCAATTACAGCTCCAAGCATTGCTGGGGTTAAATATGATTTATGTACTCATGCTATAATTACCACTGCGGCAAATTATTGCCAACAGTGTTTTGCTGTTGCTTGTTTAACCTGTGCTTAAATGTATTATACTTCTACCTAATTTTATCTATGATTTTAAGATTATATTATATTAATATACTACCACAATATTCAATATTCTTTTAATTTAAGAATCGTGGTTGTGGGGGTTAAGGAGGAAAGTTTGATGATTGTTAGGTAACTTAAGTCCCGTGAAGGAGTAAATTATTGAACTTATAAACAGGGTTACTGTATGCTTCTCAAAGTATCGCTGGGAGATTTGCTGAGGAGTTTGGGGTATTGATAAGCGTAGAAATTGGTGTGAGAAGGAAGGAAATGGAAGTTTAGGGTGATTCTTTTGAGAGACTTGTAAAGAAGGTGATAATCGAGGGAAGCCTATCCCCCAATCTGTTTCCAGGAGAGGTAAACATTCATTCTATTAGAAGATAATCGATATGGTATTTTTGACTGGATGTAGAAAGTAATGGCGGGTTCTGGATATAGAATTCTCTCATATGTGGTTACAGATTTAATAGAGTTCTTATAACCACTCCACAGGCGATCCTGAGCCCCAATGGCCATAGGTCTCTTTTCGGGAATAAGACAGATGAAGAACTCTAATGATTCAAGCAATCTAGAAACAGTCCACACTTATAGTCCTGCTTTTTCTAGGATGTTAGGGTGTAAGGTTGCAGAAGCTAGAAAGTGTCTAATAGAGTCTTTGTGCATGACGAAAAGTTCATGGTAATAAAGTGACGTTTAGAACTCTCTGGGTGGATGAAGATATCGTCTCGAGCGGAATAGGTTTGAAGAAAAGGTATCGATTTTTGTTTATTGATTTTAGATGCTTGAGTATTGTCAATTATGTGTTAGTTTATCCAGACACAGATACCTGATGGATCCGTTGGAGGTGGTGATATTGATGGAAATGCGATAGAAATGGGTTACAGAGAATTTATGCCTCATCCTAAGGATGGATATTTCATTGGACGGGTGCGCCATACTAGAGGAAGGTTCAAAATAGACTGTAAGGACTTTTGGTCTATGGCAAAATATATGGAGGCTAAACTTGGGGCTTTTTTGAGAAAGAAGAAGAAAGCAACAGGAAGATAAAAAAGGAGTGGAGGGACGCTTCAGAAAATCACAACAACGCATAGAAGAATTACAAAGAAATACATCTTGGTACCCATACTTTCGAAATAGTGTTTGAAATGGCAAACAAGAGTTTCGGCGCCAGCACCAGCACCAGTGCCAGGATCAATGTCGCCACTGGAGCAAATCTTAAGAGACACAGCTTTACTCAACGTTCAACGCGCTGAAAGAGACCGTCCAGAATGGTCCTCACCCTCAACGGAGGCTTAGAAAAGTGGAATATTGGAAGGTGAAAGAAATCAAAACTCATTGATACCAACCATTACAAATTCAAAACCAAACTGTAGGTTGAGAAAACGAACCTCATTGGCAAGTTCGAGCTCAGGTCCTTCAATCGTAGCTACCACCCACTTGACGCCACTTACGTCACACGACTTTAGATCATCATGGAATGCTATGAATGGGGATATTACGACATTCTTGCATCTCTTTTACGGAGTTTCAAGGAATGATATAGCTGTCGTACACCATATGTCGAACTTCATAAAGGGAGCTATAGCACTGGCGAACTCTAGCTCCTTCTATTCAGTACAAATAGCCTCCTCTTTCCATATGTCGTAACCAGGAAGGATAAAACAAAATCCAAAAGAGTATTGCACAACTGGTACCACCGTGGTATACCAACAGATACCCATGGGCATGTATATCATACCACTAGTTGAGGGAACGGAGCAGTTAAAAGCATGGGTTTTACGTACTCGGAGGCTTTCTTTTCCTACTTTTCATTGTCCTGAAATGACATGTGTTTTTAATTTAGAGCTTTTCGAGCTCGAGGACGAGGACTTGTCGATCACCACGGAGGTGTACTTGTTAATGGATAGTTCTGTTTCTATACCCCTAGTGATTGTCTCCATCCTGCCTTAGTGCTGTAAATATACTCGAGTACTGGGTAATTACTGTGTATTGAGATTCAAGCCATAATAGAACTAGCAAAACCACAAGTGGCGCCTACCTGCCTGTATGCAATAATGGTTCATGCATGCAAAGTATTCTAGCCCCTTATCAAATACTTCCAAGGCCTTCTCCAACCGAGGACGGCATTTCATCCCGGCTTCTGGGACTTGTCTGCTCCTCTCTTATGTATCATGCTACAGAAACGGGAAGCTTCGCCCCACCGGACAGGTATTTTTGATTCCGCGTTAGGTGATATACTCCGCATGAATTTCCTGTTATTTCCGCACAGCCGCCATCACCAACCTATCTTGTCCGCCTCACGTTTCAAAACACCATCAAAAGCAATTCTCTCGTATTGATTGACATACTTGCATAATATATCCCCTTCCACATACATATATGTCAAAGCACCAATACCCTGCCAAGAAACACACTAGTCCTCGCTAAAACAAAACAACCGCTCCAAAGGTTCAGAGAAACGGGCAATAAGACCGTTTTAAGTGGAGATCCGTTTTACCAATCGCATTTTCATAAGTTTTCCGGGTACTATATCCTAAGCGCCGGCTCTGCGCTTTGTTCTTCTCCCCAGATATATGGTATCTATGATATTTGGAGGGATTTTCACGTCAATCCTCAATTGGGAGATTCTCCGGAGTGATGTGCCCACCTCTACTCATTTTTTGATTCCAAATCAATGTCTCTGGTTGACAGGCCTGATCAAGTGTACGCCGTACGGATAGTAGTGTCTACTAAATGATGAAAGCAAAAGCTCAGCATGGGGTCTAGTGATCTTTTACCTAGAGTAGCTATACGGAGATATTGTACTCCAGATTAAAGGGTAATCACTGCTGGCTGGACTGTTCTTTGTGGGGGACTCGGCGGACTTTTCAATTATCTTCCCTCGGTATTTTGTTTTGCTAGTGGCAAAGTTATTCCTATCATCGTCACTTTATGGTTGAGATGGGAGAGATTCGTCTGATAGTCGACGGTATCTTGAACTAAACATAATCTGACGTCTGACATTGTGAATACCACGATTTCTGGCATGTTTCATCTTAGATAAGCATTTGGATAATCGTCGGCTTGGGAGACCCCACTTAGCCCTCGTTACTGCCAATTATATACCTTTAATTTTAAAAGGGAGTTGGCTCGACTTGATTAGTTTTCCCCGTTCATGATTTAAAGAAAATGTCAGGTAACTATCATCTGAATATCATGTGATATTTTGAAAAAACGTCTAAAATTCGAATATTATTTCACAAGATGTAAAGTTTAAAATACAGTTTGATTCCTTCAACTATAGTAGCAATGCTATAAGTTCGGGTTCTTCGGATTCCTTAAAATCATGTAACATTTTATGTATTTTGCAGCATAAAATTTTAAGGGACCAGACAAGGGGAAGAACTATTGGAGGGATTCAACTCCCTGAAAATAAGCATATGCGGCCATCCGACCGTGTTCCCCATAGTAGTAAGTACATGGGGTTCCTGATTGTCGGGTCGAACTTTTGGAGATAAAAAGCCATTGTATTTTCCGTTTGTTACAATATCTATCATCACCACTCACTATCATCCACACTCTTTCTACTCATATATTTAACAGTTTACCCAAACTCTCATTCACCTACTGTCGTTCATTATCCAGTCTAGCATCTTAATATACAAAATCAAAAATGAAGACCTCAACCCAACAACTCTTGTCCCTTCTCCTCCTTCCTCTCTCCACCCTCGCCGCCCCAACAGGGTCCATCGAAGCCAGAGCATGTACAGCCGTAACCGTCATCTTTGCTCGCGGAACAACTGAGATTGGAACTCTCGGTACTGTAGTCGGACCACCCTTCCTCCAAGCCCTGCAATCTTCTCTCGGTTCATCTGCAGTCTCTATGACCGGCGTCGATTATCCAGCTGATATACCCGGATTCTTGGAGGGTGGTGATTCTGCTGGTAGTCAGACTATGTACGTTCCATACACCTCTCTAGTCTCCCTTTGCATAAATATTCCATCTCCTCCATAAATTACTAACACATCATCACCACAGGGCCAAAATGGTCACATCGGCTCTATCCAGCTGTCCAGAAACCAAAATCGTCATGTCCGGTTACTCTCAAGGAGGCCAACTCGTGCACAACGCCGCCAAACTTCTCCCAGCAGCCACCATGTCGAAAGTCAGCTCTGCCGTTATCTTCGGCGATCCAGGTTCGTACCACTGCCCTTTTCTGAATCCCTAATATATATATCTCAAACTAATATAACCACCTCCAGATAACGGAAAAGCAGTTCAAGGCCTCTCATCCGCTAAAACAGATATCATCTGTCACATGGGGGACGATATCTGTCTAGGTGGCGATATGATCTTATATGCACATCTAACATACGGAATGGATGTGACGGCCGCAGCGGCTTTTGTGAAGAAAGCTGCGGGTTTGTAAGATTAGTTTTGAGGATTGGGATATAGATTTGTGGTGTTCATTGCTCGTGTGGAGTTTCTCACGATGCATATGATGTATATAGATATTTTTTGTACATATTCGGATCTAGCGTGCAGTATTGCATTTGAGATTGTTAAGTTGTAATTAATTTACTCTTTTTTTTCCTGCTTTGTCTTTTTACATCCATGGATATGTTCATAAAATTTACTCATTGGTCTAAAGAGTGTAAGAGTGGTCAAGAGCTAGGGCCGCGACAGCACGCAGGCATTTTATCATTCTATATAACATGAGCCATTTATATATCAAACTATTTATCAACGGTGGGGAAATGAACGGAAAGTCTTTGGGGATATAGGCAAGAGTTGGAAGGAAGAGCAGAGAAAGAACTGTCTTAACATCGTTTGATACAAATTATATGAAAGAAATTGCATACCAAAATTATACTTAGAAGCTTGATAAAATCTTGATGAAAATAACCAAGATTCTTGAAGTTTCGGATGTAAATATGACATTTAGATGATCTCCGGCTTGGAATCCTAGAATTTCGGATAAGGAGTGCAGTCGGAAGTCAAAACAGGCTGAATTGAATATTGCAAAAGGCTAAGAAAACGACATTCATAGATCCTGTTATCTTCGCACTTACAACAGGATATTGATATTAGCACTATGTAAGCCCAGAAAGTCCAGATCACCTTAATACCCCTCAAACATAGACTACCCAAGTTTCTGAACCTTGGAATATTCGGCCACCTATACATAGACCAGAAATATGCTGGGCTGAAAAGAATGTGAATTCCTGTAAAGTTCGGTGCAGATATCCGCAATCTTATCAACAGGAAATCAAACTGCGGGGCCAGGAACTATGCTGATGTTAAATCAAATCAAATTGATCTAAGATAGATAGAAATGACATGGACCAACAATCAAATAGAACAATTTCGAGTTTTGTCGTTTTCTTTAGGCACGTGAGAGAGCAAGCTCGCTCGACTGGTCTTTCTCTACATGATTGGCATCTATTCAACGTGTGTGAAGGAGCCGTGTCTCAATAGAAAGTTGACGGGTGGCCTCAACGTTGATACTTCCATTGGAGTCCGTCTCCATCACAGGGTTAGGCAAAAGTTTCGGTATACCCGGGCGAAAAGTCAGCCTATAAAGGACATAGTAATCACACAGAGAAATGCTCCTAGTGCTAGGTACGGCAGGGTATTTAGCATGTGAATTCATATGATCATGATCGAACCACCAAACCATATGATCGAAAATCATATGATTCGAAAGCTCGATCATGTTATATGATTTCAGAATCTTATGATTGAAAGTTAATATAATTAAAGCTTCAGATTATAATATAGGACGATTACATGATATTTACCGGCACCCGGTGGTATTGCCGGGTAATCACCCTATGAAACCTCTATAAGGTAGGGCATCCATCCTGTAGAGGTCGATATCCGGATAGAGTACGAGTTCCCATGCCTGATTCATTATTCAATTCCCGTCAAAGATCTGGTGTCAAGCACAGGTATGGAGATCTCGTCGAGAGTCTAGATGCCAAATATAGCCAGAGCTTTTTTTTCGTAATCGCTGATTAGAGAGCAATATATACAGGGGATAATAACTCTCCATAGTTTCAAAAGGATTGAGAAACTCAATACGTAGTAGAGATCGTAAATGAACCACAAAATGGCCACTTCAACCTCACAATGATGAGAAAACAGGATATGATTTTACTTGACCAATTAAGGTGCTTTTAAGCCACCAGTAGTGGCTAACGACTAGGTTTATAATGTTTCGCAAATTCTCATAATCTAACGAGAGAAAGACAAACGTGAAGGCTGCAAGGAGATTTGTTGGTTGCTGTTTCGAACTCGGTTAGCTTCAGATATTGGTCAGTGGGTGTGACGACCACATGACCTGCGATTACTATTCATCAATCCTTCCCAAGCGCGCGGTAAATAATTATCATGGTCAAAGACCTTTACACCTGTATCAAGTGAGATATGACCTCTAGATTTCGTCCTCGTACATACTCTGACTCTATGACTGAGGCTGGGTAAAGTACCTGTGTATGCCGACCTAGCTGAAGATGTCTACCAACAATCCTTTTAATCTACACACATCCCTCGAACTCGTATTCTACGGAAAATGGATGATTTCTTTTAATTGCATGGTCATGATGAAGAAAATTAAGCATGGGGAATTGTTGCAGCAGTAGAAAACAAAAAGAGCAATTACCTCGTCCCACTCCAGGACGTAGACGTTATTCTATGGGCAATACCTGTAAGTCTATTGTTGATCCGTCGATGAGTTTTTAGATTTGATATTAATATCCTTTTCAGATAATACTTATCGTACAAATCCTATATTAGAACTACTAGAAGAAGAATATCAAAGTAATAAGAATTTGGAAATAAAAAAGAAAGGAAGGCCTAGGTGCGAGAGGTACGATCTGGATGGAGATTTAAGTCCCAGACGAGTTGAAGCATGGGAAAGTCGCGGTAAGAGTCGCCATGGGGTCCGCCAAAGAGCTGTTCGAGGTGCTGGTAGATCACGCGCAATTCGTTCCGCAAAATCCCACAAGAAAACCAAGACACGTAAAAGGAAACGGATGGATTTCATTGAAGATGACGAAGATGACAGTGATAGCGAAGACAGCGAAATCGAGACCAGTGATGATGATAGTGACAGTAATAGTGATAGCGACGATGATTCTGCGGTTGATCGCCGGAAAATGTCAAAATCTGTCAAGCGTCGGCGGAATCAACAATCGCGTAGGAAACGACCTGGGAAGAGAGAAAAAGTAATTAATGAAAATGAGGACGAGGATGAAGACGAATATTTGGAAGAGAAAGATGACGATGATGGTGATGAAGAAGAACAGGACGAGCAAAGAAAAAATGATAAACGGAAAAAGAGTCAGAGCAAGCAAAACGCCAGAGAAAATTCGAAGAAAAGAGTCAAGGCAAAAACTCAGCCAAGATCAAAGGTCAAAAAACTGATAGAAGATGACAAAATTGCTCTTTTAGGGACAGAGGATGATGACAATGATGACGACGAAGGTGACGATGCGGAGGATGAGGATGAGCAAGAAGATACAAGTAAAACTCAAGAGTCTGAAACTAAAGGAAGAGCGAAGGGAAAAGAAATCGAAAAGCCAAATCCTTATAGATGGACGAACCCCTCGCCAATATTCGACAAGAACAAGAGTAGTATCTACCAAAGAGCTAGAGCGAAAGGTTCAGACCGAGAATCTATTCGCCAACTCGAAATCCAACGTCATCGTAAAAGGCGAGAACGGGAATCATCATCTCTCCAAAAACCCAAAAAGTCTGTTTCAGGAGACACTGGTGATGATGATTGGACCGATACAGACGCATCTTCCCTTGCAACCTCCAAACGATCTGGAAGTACTTCTTCCAGATTATCCTCACTATTTGGCCCACGAAACCGAAGTTTGACTCCAGAAACAACATCCCATTTGATGTCCCCCATATCACCACTTACTCGACCTTCCATTTCATCCAGAACAGGAGAAACCACTTTTGGCGCTACTGTGATTAGGGCATCGCCTCTACAAGAAATTGTATCCGCAGACTCATTACCAGCAAATCCTGAACCAAATGATACTATTATAACACCTCCCCCAGCAGTACATCAACGAGCCTTATCACCTATGCCCAAAGCAGGCGATCCATGTATGGAGGGAATGAAGAAAGTCATTTTTATGAGTCGCGGTAAGAGAAGCTCGATAAAACTAGTGCCTTCAGATGGAAAACCTACAGACCCGGATGATGTTGAAATTATTCTTACGAAATGAGGAGGAGTTGTTGGTAGGAGGAAGATACGGTAAAGTATTTTAACATTCGAGTATTGTAAGATTCTTGGTTCTCTCTTTTGTTTTCGTTTCGTCAGTTTTGAAGAATACGAGTTATATGTGGAGAGATGAAAGCTCAAAAAAGAGGGAAACTAGTGTACCTAATGGCAGGAGCTGCAAGGTGGAGTTTGGGTTTGATTTTAAATATACCCTTGCATATATCGTAAAAATCAATATAACACTTGTTAAAATCTGCCTATTTTGTTTAAATGAGCCGTTGACGCGATGAACAAAATGGATGGAAAAGGCCGATTGTGAATACAACACAACTGCATGTACTATTTCTGTTAACCTAAGACGCCTTATTGATACTTTTAGTATGGTTCGTTCGGTAGATTAAGGTAGTGATCTTGAATTTTTGAAGATATAAACCGGTCGATAGAGAGGAAAGATGAGTTTTGGCGGGCGCGATGGTGTGACTACTAGGTAATCATTATAAGGACTAACACCAAGTCTATTTCTCCAGCTGTTTCGGGAGACGCGTTGGTGGCAGACTATGGGTAAAGAGAAGGAGTGCTGCTATGACAGATAGTGGACACTGATGGCCCATCGAGGGAACTTGAAGAAGGGTGAGAGTAAGAGTGAGAGAGAACGCGGCAGAAACTTGGAGTTCACCTCCTCCATACAGGCCTTCCCTCCCATTTGCATGGGGGGGAGTACATCAGCAATACAATCCCAAATAATCCCCAGATCGCCCGCTGTAGCTTTTGTTCTCATTTTGAGTATTTCTTTACCGGCTGTCATAACATGAAAGAACTACAAGAGACCCGTTTGATGCGTGGAGGGCTCGTTAGACGGTTTGTGTGCTGTGGCGCGGAAAGGAGGAAGCATTGGATATGTTGGAGGAATCGAGGAAGGGAGAAACGCGGTTGGTAGAGGAGCAAACAAGAACACGGGGAATGATAGAAGCAGGAGTCAAAACAGAGAAAATGATGAGGGAACCGACAAGGAAGAAGCAGTCAGGTTGATGCTGATAGGGTTGAACATAGAACTAAAGGTTAAATAGGCTAAAGCGCGCCATAGCCCAAGCGCAATTTAGACAGCGAGTAAGCAAAACGGGTGAAGAGTCTAGATCGGAAGTCTAAAAACAAGCTGGTTGGACGCACAATATACCTATAGCTCCGTATAGTGAAAGGACTTGGTATCTAGTGCCATAGGATTCATGAACATGGTGAAAGAAATTATGACAGAGAGCGAGCCCATCAAATGGAAAATTAAACAATTGCCGATTACTACAAGATAGAGTATAAGCATCCATCGGGGTATATTACAACTCTGTTCTATAAATTCCAACGACTTTTAGGAAGATAGCTTGCTGCTTATTAGTGTAAAGAAATACGCGCCGCAATTAATGGTCCAGCCTGTTTACTTGCTTCTCTTATAGATCTTCTTCAAGAAGCTTTCAAATACAGTCTTCTTCAAACCCTCTGACTCATCAACCTGGGAAATCATTTGTTTGATTTCACCAACTTTCTTCTCCTCATAATCCTCGTAGATCTGCTTCAAATTAAGTTCATCGAACAGTTTCTTCACTGCGGCTTCCTTTGTCTTATCTTTGTGACCATAATTTTCCTCGAGAATCTTACGCTGCTCAGGAGTTGTGATGGCCAATGCCTGGTTGATGAGCCAAGAGCACTTGTTGTCCATGATATCGGTACCGATCTTCCCAATGTGCTCTGGTAGACCAAAGTTGTCAAGATAATCATCTTGGATTTGGAAATATTGGCCGAGTGGAATCAAGATATCCTCTGCTTGCTTAAGATTCTTTGGGGTAGCGATCTTCTGGTGGTGAAGGGCAAGAGCGACAGGGAGGTAGAAAGAGTAATAAGCGGTTTTGTAGGTGACGATAAAGTCGTACTTTGTCATGGAAAAGTTGTCCAAATCGACCTTGTCCTCTGGTGCAGTCAACAAGTCGCACAATTGACCGAGCTCTGTCTGGTATGTAATTTCGTGGAAGAGCTCGATGAGATCAACGTAGGAAGGGTGGGAGCGGAAGTATTTCTTCAACAGAGAGTAGATCGCAGATTCGAGAATGAAGGCATCATTGATAGCGATCATACCAACATTTGGTTGTCTGTACCAACAAGGTTGACCGCGGCGAGTAATGCTGCCATCCATAATATCATCTGATACGAGGAAGAAAGCTTGGAGGAGCTCGGTCATCCATCCCAACGTGGCAGATTCGAAGTATTGTTCTTCGGAGAGGGGAGCTTCGAGAAGGAGAGATACTGAGTCAGGGACAGACATTCCTCGATTGCATTTTCCGCCAATTGTGTTGGCATATAGACACTAAATAAATAAAAAATCAGTATATGTGATTCGTATATCCTCGTGGAAAGACACTCACAGCTTTAAGCCAATCTTGACCTTGTTGTGGTAGGTTGTACTTTTGGGCATGGGCAAGCAAGTCCTCAACCAATTTTGGGAAGACAGACTCAAACTCCTTGAGGGTAGTAGTGTTCGCCATTGCGATTACTTCGGTGGTGATTGATGGAAGTAGGTTTTATTTAGGATGAGATGAAGGAATATACTATATGTGAAGGCCGGAGACTGAAGATTATAGAGAGGTAAGGAATGAGAAAAGAGGAAGGTCAAGCTTTAGTGGTGGGTGGCATAGTAACACCTGGGGTTCCACAAAGAAAGAGTTGTGACAGGGGAAATTAATTACAGCGGTGAAGATGCGGGGTGGGCAGAACGCGGAAATACAAGACCTGGTGGACGCGCTTTCCTTAGTACTGGTGGACTGCGACAGGTACTTTATTTGATCATGGCCATTTTTGTTGGATCATGGAACGTTGAAACCTTCTTGTGATGTACTTCCATGACAGACATTTTGTATAATACATAAATGGGTTCAACTTATATTGTTCAAAGACTTGCCCGCCGAGAATAATATTGTGAATCGTTCCTCGGTCGACCCGATATCAAAGTCAACAATACATCAAAGCTCCGGGCCGTACCATAGACCCAAGCAAAGCTAATTAAGACCCGGCCTTGCTAGTCTGCAGACAACCTTGAACTTCATGAGCTATCTGAAAGCTCACATTCTCGAAGAATCGGGATAGAGTTATTACATTATGGCACTCACTGAACGGGAAACAGCACAATTGCGAGGATCACTGCAGGAAGCGGTTGTGAAATGTTCAGAAAGATGCTTATATCAATCTGCAAAATGGTATAAATTCATAGCAGTAGTATCAATTACATTCACTAATGGATTCTTTAAGGGCTGCAGAACTCCTGACATCTATACCGACGAATGATGACCTCTCAGAACCCGAGGATTCGCAAATGACGGAAGTACTGGCGGAAGGACTCCCCCCAATTGTCGTCAGTGGGAACCTCGATCCAGAAGAAGCACAACTCGAGGCGAAAGAAATTAACAAATATTTATTGGCAAAATCTTTCTTTGATTGCAGGGAGTTCGACCGATGTGCTGCTGTGTTTCTTCCGGATAGATTGCTCTCTGGAATTTTGTCAACAACGGCTGGAAGAGGCAGCCAAACTGGCGCAAATACGAGGTCAAAGGGAAAGGAAAAGGCATCATCAAGTCGAGCTAGCACAGGACCAATATCTGTGCTCCCAAAATTGAGCCAGAAGAGCTTATTCCTAGCTTTATATGCAAAATTTATGTCTGGTGAGAAAAAGAAAGATGAAGATAGTGAAATGGTAATGGGTCCTCATGATGGAGGAAACACAGTGAACAAACAGTTGGTCACGATAATTCGAATATTGGAGGCATGGTTTCAAGAGAGAAGGACAGAAACTGGAGAGTTTGCCGGCAGTCAAGGGTGGCTTGAATATCTGTTTGTCAAATTACCCCAGATAAAGGATTTCTACTAACCGGGCATAGCTATGGAATGGTTTTAGCTAAGGACAAAAATGAGGATGAGGCGATGCGCTGGCTCGTCCGAAGTGTTGAGCTATTTCCCATGAATTGGGGTTGTTGGTTAGAGATGACTTCTTTAATTTCTAGAGTTGAGGACGTGAGTAAACAACCTCGAATTCAGGAAATTTTACTGACTTATTTGCAGTTAAATCGGATATCGCCTCACCTCCCTCAAAATATTCTCTCCTTCATATTCCATCTTCACACTTCCCTAGAATTATACCAATCGACGCCACAACTGTCCAGCTCCCTAGAACAACTTCTTTCCATATTCCCAACAAGCCCTTTCCTACTCACCTGCTTAGCTCTTCTATCCTATCATACCAAAGATTTTGTCACTGCCGACGCTCATTTCAGTCGTCTCCTTGCACTACATCCTCATCGATTAGATTCACTCGATCATTACTCTAATATTCTTTATGTTATGAACCTCAGACCGAAATTATCGTTTCTTGCACATCTCTGCTCGAGTGTTGACAAATTTCGACCAGAATCCTGTGTTGTGATAGGCAATTACTACTCGCTGTTATCAAGTCACGAGAAGGCTGTACAATATTTCAGACGTGCTTTAACTTTAGACCGTTCTTGCCTAAGCGCTTGGACGCTAATGGGTCACGAATATGTGGAATTAAAAAATACCCACGCAGCTATTGAATCATATCGTCGAGCAGTTGATGTTAACAGGAGAGATTATAGGGCCTGGTATGGACTAGGACAAACATACGAAGTACTTGAAATGCATGCATATGCACTGTGGTATTATAAACGTGCAGCAGGACTCCGTCCTTGGGATGGCAAAATGTGGATGGCAGTAGGATCCTGCTTACAGAAAATGGGTCGCGATCTCGAGGGCATCAAAGCATTGAAGCGCGCACTGTTAGCAGATAGCTACTATGATGCAGGTGTGGGCAGTTCATTTGGAAGTGGTGGTAGAGAAAGAGGGGGCACTATGGATCCGGAAATTTTACTCCAAATTGCTGGAATGTATGAGAGGTTAGAGGACGAAAGAGAAGCACGAGGGTACATGGAGTTGTGTGTGGCACAAGAAGAAGGCAACGATAATGCAGATGCATCCGCCATTAACATCCATAATGATTCAGCATCATCAGACGATGAAGGGCGCCAGCCACTGGCACCTACAGGTGAAGGTGGTAATGGTACAGGGGTTACGGCTGCAACATCAAAAGCTAGGATGTGGTTAGCAAAATACTCGATGAGAACGGGTGACTATAAGAGAGCCATGCAACTGGCTACAGAACTGTGTCAGGATGGAGTAGAAGTTGAGGATGCAAAAGCTTTAGTCAGAGAGGTCAGAGTCAGACTAGAGGGATTGGAATCACCGTGAGCGAGCAGATAGCATTTATAGGAGTTTTGAGATACCAATGAGAATCGATTTTATCTAGTTTTGACTCTGACGAGCGTCAGTTTCAGAATGTGCATATTCTTTATTGCCACAAACTCCCCGGCCTATGGTGGATCCTGGAAGTTTTGTGAACGGAGTTCAGCATACTTATCATTCTTCCGAAATATCCGACATTGAAGGATTTTCCTCTTCATGTGTTATTTTAACCCCAACAATAAATGTTCTCACTTATTTTAGTCTGAATATCAACCTGTTCTAAGAAAGCACGCTAACGTTCGACAAATACCCAATAACTGCCACAAATTATTACGTTATCTCCTAACTCAGGGATCTCAAAGTCTGGAGACGTCGTTCACGTCTCTCCCCTTTATCTCCCTCGTTAACTTTATCTATTGTTTCTTGTTCTATCTCGCCATCTTCATTCTTCTACCTTTCCTCCCCTCACGAGTAGCCTGAGCTAGTTCAATTCGTGCCTCGTAAGCCGAAATTTTCTCTTTTCATCTACATCATGAGCTTCGATTTTTCTTTACTCACGAGTATAATGCGCAACCCCAGGTACTTGGAGACATTGCTTGCGACTTGTTATGGCATCTTTGTTGCCTCGGCGATCAACGCATCAAATTCGGCTCTCATTCTGCCTCCAAGGCCCTGTTCGTTGGTCCTAGGGGCGTGTTTAAAGAAGCTTCTGGGATGGATAAATACTCAAAAGTTTGAGCCAGCCAATAATTAATCCCTTAGAAAATGTAATTTATAAGATCAACATATAGACTATGTACTATTAAGCCATAAAGGTAGCATCCTTCGAAGGAGACTAATTACAAAGGGCAAAGCCTCTCTTGAATAGTCAGGTTTACTTCTTTCTAGACATCACATTATATATCTAGTTCACTTAATAATTCGAATATGCACCTCAGCTTGGAGCGCGAACTTGACACTCCGGGACCTGCTGATCAATTGTCAATTTTATCCAAGCGACTTATGTGAGGTTCTATTCATATAAATTGTGTAACACGGCCCGCCGCTCCGCATAAAATCAACATATCCCTCCACTTTTCGTATAATATGCAGAATCTCCATACTATCACCATGCATATAGATGCATGGAGAAAGAGGAATACATTAAAGGCCTTGGTGCTGCGTTTTGACGAGTGTCATTGATGCATGACTATAGTTGCAATTGTGACTGGCAAACCTCTAGTTTCATTTATATGTAGAACTCTGAGCCTTTCAACCACTGCAAGCTTCATAACCTGGGGTGCAGCTTTTCGTTTATTGAAGCGGCAGTTGGTATCCTATGTATATCCGCTCCGTTCCCCAGGTTGACTTCCCCGGATTTCAGAGATTGCCAAGACACACCCTGTCAGATATAATGCCGATCTTATTCTATAGACTGAAATACAAGTGCCTAGTGGATCTTAGGTAGTAATATATCATCTGTTTCTCTCATCACTTGACGAAAAATAATATAATAGCAATGTATAGCAAGAACTTGATTCGATCCATATATATTAATTTGATAGTACTAGTAAATTCGAAGAACGTGATGATGTGTTACGGATCCTGTTCCTGCCAATTTCTCCTCCATGTATAATTTCTCAATCCTCCCTCCTGGGGAAGTAAATCTCGTAGCCAGCTTAAGAAACCGTCACTCTCAATTATCTTCCATGATGAAAACCTTCACTTCTCTTCTAGGACTCTCGTTCCTTACATGCCAAGTCTCAGCTCATTGTAAGTATTCACCTACTTATATAATGAGGAGAGCTAACATGCCGCCACCTAGACATCTTCCAATCCTTCACCTACAAAAACATCCAATATCCTCCTTATGGCTACATCCGTATGAACAATAATTACAATAGTCCCATCATAGATCTCGCTAGCAACGATCTCCGATGTAATTCCGGTGGTGAAACGAGCAATGGAACGCAAACTATAACAGTAAAGGCTGGTGATTCCTTCTCATTCACGGCAGATGTACCAGTTTATCACCAGGGACCTTTGTCTATGTAAGTCTTGCTTTACTGTTACAAATCTTTACAATGGTGCGTCGAGCTGATGGAAATCTAATCTCTCTCTGTAGATATATGGCCAAAGCACCAACGACCGCAGCAGCCTTCGATGGATCCGGACAGGTCTGGTTTAAGATTTTGGATATTGGTCCTACATTCACAAATCAAGTTGCGACATGGAATCTTTACCGTGAGTTCTCAGCCTCTCTCTATCTGTAGGGTATGAAAGAAAATATGAATAAAAGACTAATTTCCCTAGAAACATATACCTATACTATTCCACCTAATCTACCTAACGGTGATTACCTTATTCGTATTCAACAATTGGGTATTCATAATCCTTAGTAAGTTGTGTATTTTTTTATCGTTTTTTTGGGGGTAGTGAAGAGGAAGAGGTGGAGTCTAATTTTTGGATTTAGTCCAGGGGGTATTCCTCAGTTTTATATAGAATGTGCACAAGTCACTGTTACGAATGGGGGTTCGGGGACCCCGGGTCCTTTGGTCTCTATTCCTGGGTACGTGTTCTCTTGGCTTTCGTTCCATTTTGCCTCTCTCATTCCCTTCCGCTGTGCCTTCTCTTACCCTTTCTTACCTTCCCATTTTCCAATCCTCCAATCCCTCTCGCCATACACCCCGCCACCCCGCCATTCAAACACCCAATCAACTAACCCACCACCCTCTCAGAGCCTTCTCCGACACCGATCCCGGCTACACCGTAAACATCTACTCCAACTTCTACAACTATACCGTTCCTGGTCCCGCCGTGTGGGCTTCCCAAGGAGGTTCCTCCATCTACACTGGTATCTCCAGTGGAAACAACGCCGCGACAACATTAACTAGTATGCCTGCTGCCACAGGTGTTGTTACTACTACTGCTCCTGCGAGTGCACCTGCGACGGCGACGCATACTACTTTGACTACTGTTGCGACTTCGACGAAAACTAGTGCGAGTACGAGTTCGAGTGCAGCGGCGACGCCGACGGGCGTTGTGGTGCAGAAGTATGGACAGGTATGTTTCCTTTTTCTTTTTTTTTCTTTTTTTTACCTTGGCGTATTCTATACTTCTTATAAAGCAAGCATGCAAAGATAATTAATTAATTAATCAATGACTAACTCCTCATTTTAATACTATAGTGCGGAGGTCAAGGATGGACTGGTGGAACTGTTTGTGCGGCAGGGAGTACCTGCACGGCTGCTAATGCTTATTATAGTCAGTGTTTGTGAGTTTGGACTGAGAAGAGAGAGTGAAGAGGGGGGAAAGGTGGATGGATTGATGGGGATGGAGGAAGATAAATATGGGGATTGAGGGTGGTAGAAACGTGGAAGAGAGGAGGTGAGGTGATGTGTGTGTTTGGATTGTTGTACTAAGGCTTGTATTTAGGATGTGGAGGGAGGGGAGGGCTGAGGAGAGGAGAAGTCGAGGATGTAGATGTAGATGTGGATGTAGATCAAGATATCGTATATCTGAATGCTATTACATTGAACCTTACTGTTATGCAGGTGTTTACAAATGCATCTACTTCTGATATATGAATACAAGGATCTCCGAATCCATTCACACATCCCATTTTAAAGTATTTACTTGATGAAGATATGTATTGTGGGTATGTACTCAAGCTAATAATATAAGCCAGTCGATATACAGCGACGATGCATATACATAAATACTAGATCTCTCCATCCCGAGTCCTCATAATTCATAATCCATTAGGTCATCCATGCTATATCCATGCTATTTCCTACATTCAGAATCCAATCTCAACCCATGATTCTTTAAGTGGAGTTACTGATCGCCAACAACTTGGTGTAATTTGGCGTTCCCAAACCAGTTGCAGGATCCCAACCACTAACGGCCGAGAAACCAGCACCGGAGATAACACCGCTGCATCCAGTGATCTTACCGGTGGTAATATCTGTCAATGCGGATTTGGCAGTTGAGTATAGCCATGGGTTGAGGAAACCGAGACCAGCTTTGCCAGCGGCGACACGGTTAGAGTTGATGAGTTGGATGACGGAACTGAAGGTTGGGGTTGCGCAGGAAGTTCCATCAACGAGCTCGGCATATCCGGAGGCAACGATCACGACTGGTTTTAATGTTAGTGAAGTGAAAAATAGGTGGCATGGGATGAGTAGGATAGGGGATAGATTTTACTTACAATCAGTAGCTTGAGCGGCGACATCTGGGTAAGCACGACCGGATGCGTTGAAGTATTTTGTTACTGAGGAGTGAGTCGTGTCGGTTTTCAACCAGTTGTTGACTGCTGTAGATTGGTAGGAAGGTTGTCCGAAAACAGAGGAGAACCCACCACCACCATCAGTCCATGCTGCCCTGTGGAATGTTAGTGTTTCCGGTCTTTAATCCAAAGCATGGAGTTGTATAACTTACTCAGGACTGTTACCAGTGGTACCGCCAACAACAGTTACCCATGGGCAAGATGCTGGGAAACTGGTTGTGAAACCTTTGGTAGATCCAGTGGTAGTGCAAGTAGTACCTACACCGGAATCTCCGGAAGCGACGAGGATGGATACACCACGAGCACCAAGTTGGGAGAACAAGTTGCAGACTTCATCAGCGTAGTCCAAAGGAACAGTAGCTTCGTCATCACCGTAAGAGATTGAAATGGTGTTTGGAAGTGTTGTGGCGGTAAGGAGAGAGTCGAGGAATTCGAGGTAGGGCTCGTTCTGGTTTTCACCACCGCCAACAATTGGAGGAGATCCACCAACTGAGTAGCTTCAATCTGTTAGCATCGCTATTCTAAGAATACAGTTCAGAATTGATAAACATAAAACTCACTAGATGTTAGGAATCTCTGATGTGATGGCTCTGGCATATTGGACATCAAGATTGGCTTCGATACCTGGGTAGCCATTTCCACTTGATGGGCAAGTTCCTCCATTGATAAGAGTGCAGGTGTATGTGTAAGCCTTATTGGCGAAGTATGCATAGTTATTCATGAAGGTGGTCAAATCAGACTTGGATGGCCATTGCTCCAAGAAGCCGGCGATACCCATCAGTCCACTTGTCAATGTAGCTGGGGCTGATGTGAAAGAGTAAAGGTTGGCAAGACATTTTGGGGTAATAGTACTACCACTGCAGCCTGTGACAGCTTCAGTACCGTCGACCTTGAGCACACTTTCATCAAATTCCTTGTGCTGCTTGATGTTGGATCGCATCGCGCGAAGACCGAAGAAGGTTGTTGGTTGAACAATATCAACATGACCCTTCAAAGCATCGGGAAGACTGTATTCGAGAGTTCGGATAGCGCCTTGGTACAATCCGGTGTGAACTACAAATATTAGGAACTGGATTTAATCATGAAGGGAGGTTTATTCTTTACCGTAAGCGTCGTACTGCGCTTGGAGAAGCTCTTCGACTTGTCTGATACTTGCTTCCACAATGACGGAATCTCCTCGTGCTGAGACAGTTGTTTGGTTTGTCAAGCCTGCAGTCGACAGCCACTGCAAAACAAGGTCACGCGATTGAGTCTTTGGTGCGATCATTGCATTGATCGTCGATTGATCAATGTGACGTCCATATAGGGCATTTCCAGGGGTGGCAATCTTTGAGAGGTCAGTTTAGAACGTTTTCTATTTTGAGGTATCCGGAAAGATAAGAAGACTTCTTCTCATGTGCGAGTCTGGCGCCTAGATATGTGAAAGATTGGAGATCATACGTCCATGGCCATCTTGTGGAATTTTGGCATGTTCTGTGCTACCAAATGCAATCTCAACTTCATCATCGAGACATCTTTGTCGAATACAGCATTCTCATCCAACTCCCATCCTGCAGGCGCAGCAGCGATCTTCTCGAAAACGCTGGATTTGCCGAACGTGGGTAATGCTTGGACGGCCGACGCAGCAAATGCCACGGAGAAAATGTTGAGGAAAAGCATCTTGCCGAAGTAAGAATGATTACAACGATAAAGACATCGAAGAATAATTGCGGCACCATGGCATACTTATGCCAACACCACCCAAGAGAGGGCGCATGCTTGTCTCGCACAAGCCTTGCGGCATCGACACGGTACCTACTTCTCTGAGCCAATGGTGGAATGGTGAGTAATGGTCTACATTGCCAGCTGCCTTTTGTAGAAGTGCCTTGACACTTCATACCGTCGTAATCGTCACCCATGTTTTCTTCATTAATTTAAGGTTATCTTGTATCTCAATGTTCATTGGACAATTTGTCAGATCATCACGGAGGTATCGCTGCATTAGGAAAGTCATTGGGGAATCGGACGACGCCAGATTGAGCTATGCACAAGTGGGGAAAGCATCCTTCCGCATTTTCGATGGTTGCCGAAAGAGGGGTAGGTACTCGTGCGGCTAGAAAGTATGCAACTCCGAAGCTCTATGCACATACCAAAAGATGGCAAAGTCCAGGAGGAGTAACCTCGTTACTATAGCGTCTAGTCTTACACTTTATGGCAGCACGAGTAAGGTAATAGAGCGCAAATCCTACTTCCTTCCAATGAACGTATTGAGATCAAGTAACGGATTATGCGACCGTAAAGAAAACACAAAGGAAGCCGTATTTAAGCATCGAAAAACGAAGGAATTGATACATCAAAATTCCCTCATAAGTTATCAATTACAGCTTCCGGTGCAGATAATGGATCAGATATTTTCTAGCATGTGGAACCAGAATGAAACAACTTCCTAATTAGGTTGCGATAAAAGGTACCATCCCACCATCCGATAATCATCCATAACCCGCCAGCACATTTTTCTTGGCAAAAGATTAGAGTAAATGTCGTATTAGACCGCCGATTCAATCACGCAATATGGCATTTGATATCGACACTCCCGATGCTGTAAAGATATGATTATTGAATATTGATGTATCAACTATGTTTTATCCAAGTCCCATTATTGTAATCTTTACTCTTGAATGATTAACGAAAAGGAACACTTGTACGAGTGCTTTACATTTTGAATCCAATATAAATACGGGCAATCCAAAGCTGTTGATTGCAGATGATGTAAGCATATACTTAGAATACACTTACATGTCGGCTAGCTCCAACACTTTAGTTGAATATTCGACTCATAACGGGAGAAGTCATTAAGACAAATCGTCCAAGCATCAATGTTTGAGATCAAATCAAATTTATGTCAATACATGCAGGAGACAGCTTCAATGTCCGATCAAGCAACCGCCCAACAACAACTCAAGCAACGCTCATTGGATTGGATCGTATGGTAGACCATGTTTAACTTTGATTTTACCAGATCAAAGTCTAGATAACGACCAGAACTCGCACATCTAATTGTCAAACAATAAGAATTCTTCTGTGGCACTTCTTAGAGTTGTATACAATTAACATAGGTCAGTTGACAGTTCTGTGGATTGTGCAAAACTAACAAAATGATTGAGAGAAAGCTGACATCCATTGTAGCTGTAACCCGGAAGATATAAAGATGTTACCTTCAAAGCTTAGATAGAGCAGGACTCACTGCAACATCTCAAATGCCTTGAATTGAAGGAAACTTCCACGTGTATCGCGAACCAAATTCATAACATCGATACTCTACCAGTGGAGGAATAGTACTTCTATCCACAAGACGCTACTACTCGTTGCGCGTATGGAGACGTGCAAATATGCAATGATTATTCTGTATGAAAACTTTTCATGTGAAAGATACTTCATTCACAGTGAAGCAAGCATCGAAATTGCTGTACGGCCAAAAATGTACTGTGAGCCTGAAACGAGTAGGCATGCAGAAAAGGAGTAAGGGAGAAACTTATTTTTAAATTTGTACACCCAAGGTTTGGTGTTTGGGTATGGTAAGCAATATCTTGGAGGAAGATAAATGATGCTTGTGGTTGCCTGTCTTCCCGGGCACTTGGGTTGGGTACCAGGATTTCCAATTCTTACCAAACGTATGAGTGGTACAAGTTTAACAAACCATCCGCCGGATCTCAATTTGTGAACTGATAAGAGTTAGGTAACCATATCGATCGAGGCCACAAGAGTATGACAATGCGATGGGACTCACTCTCCTCTGGATTGATATTCTTTAAGCTTTGAGTCCAAGCCGATCAAAAGTGTAGATGGAGTGGTGTGGTAGTATCTGATGGTCAACCCGTATAGTTTGCTCAAGATTGTAAGTACCTACCCTATTTGGCTTGACAATTTGCCACTTTCGACGGATGATTAACACCCAAATTGAACGAAGAAGCATCATAGTTAAGTTCGTGACTCAAATCTAGAAGACATCAATTCAGTCGTAGCACCTGCACCAATCGTACTCAGCTCATTACATAAAAGCATCAACTAAGACCATGACATGACTCCTCCAACCGTAGCAAAGTAAAGCCAACAAAAGAGAAAAGAATAAAGAGTCACGTGCCCACCAAGATATTTTTCCCAATAGTTAGCGGCCGTATAGACCGTATCTAAACCCAATCCAGCCAAGTTTGTCACATTTGCAGTAATCCGGGCCAAATTTTCAGTAGCGAGAAATGTATAAAGTCTCAGCTTCTCCCTTGAGATTCCCTTCTTTTCCCTTCATCTTAGTGCATGGGTTTTACGCATATCAGTGAGGATTCGTCCGAGATTGCGTTTTTGCTAGTTGAAAACTATAACCATGACCACTCCAGGTTGGCTTCGGCTGGCCTGGGAATCTTTGGAACCAAAACATCTTCTCGTAAGAGATTTTTAATTGTTTTTCATTGCGACCGGCTTCTTGTAGGCTGACGTGAAGAAGAATGGGAGGGGTACGTAGTTGGTGGATGTGAGAGAGGAGGAGATGATGGGATTCAGATTAGATGAGGGAGATGGATTTTATATGTTTGATTGTATGTATGTAGATGTCACTAAGATCGTTCTCGCTATTGATGGTTTTGCTCCGTTGTGCTTGGTGATGCTGATTTTGTGATGAAGATTTAGTAGTAGGATGGACACTTGCTGCCATTGCCGTTCGACCAACACAGTTCCGGACAACCTGATTTAAAGAACCTTAATAACATATATTTCCATACCTCCAAGTGATTCTGTATCGTAGAAATGCATTTGATAAAGACATGTCGAGATTTCAAATCAATCATGCAAATGTACTATGTTCAGCATATCTAACAAATCAGGAAGGTTGAAAAACAAAAACAAGAACAATACCTTTGTCCATTGCATCTGCCACCCTATCAACCCACCACAATCACATCTATATATTCATCATGACGAAGAAGGCCCTCATCACAGGCGCAACTGGTTTACTCGGCAGACAAGTCCTCAAAGTATTTGATCGGGAAAATTGGAATGTAGTTGGCACTGGTTTCTCACGCGCAAAGCCTCCTACCATTCTCAAGGCAGATTTGGCTTCTGAATCGGAAGTTTCAAAGGTGTTGGATGAATCCAAGTAACGTAACATCTTCATGATCTTTTATGCAATACTGACGGTAGGAGTATATAAAGACCCCAAGTCGTAATTCATTGTAAGTTTTGTCAACACTGTCTGCTGCTTCGTCATCATCATCAGTGCTAATACTGCGATTACAGGTGCAGCGAATAGATTTCCCGATAAATGCGACAACGACCCTGAAGGGACACGTGCTCTCAATATTGCCGCCTCTGCCTCGTTAGCAAAACTGTGTGCCGCACAATCAATTCTTCTCATCTATATATCCACCGATTACGTTTTCCCTGGCACCGAAGGCGATGCACCTTACGAGACAAGTCATAGCCCAAAGCCCCCCAATCTATATGGAGAAACAAAATATGAGGGTGAGAAAGCTGTATTGGCAGAATATGAGAAAGCAGGCAAATCTGGTTTGGGAGTAGTATTGAGAGTTCCGGTTCTCTACGGCGAAGGCGAACCTGAAGAAAGTGCAATTGGTGTACTGATTAACTCAGTCTGGAAAGCACAAGAAAAAGATGCCAATGTCAAGATGGATCATTGGGCCATTCGTTATCCTACCAATACGGAAGATATAGGTCGAGTTCTGTCAGATATTGCGATTAAATATCTCGAAAGTAAAGAGCCATCTTCTTTACCACGAATTTTGCAATTTTCCTCCGAGGACAAATACACAAAATATGAGATCTGCCAACTCTTTGCGGAGATTTTGGGATTGCCTTTGGATGGTATGGTAGCAAATACGGAAGGAAATGATCCAAATGCTAGTGTTCAGAGACCTTATGATTGTCATTTGTCTACCAAGGCATTGAAGGATTTAGAGATCAATGTTGCTACGATGGATTTTACTGGATTTTGGAGGAGGGAGATGAGGGCATTTAGGAAGTAAAGAAGCATGTAGCTTGAGACTCAAGCATAGTCGTCTTCTACCTATGTATGATCGGTGTCGATCGAGTATACCTATTGAATAGTTCATCAAAACGCTCCCAGCTTATTGTCAAAACTCATGATGATGACCATAAGATTCTACGAGAGTCTGAAGTTCTCTTGACCTTATTCTAGCCTTTAGTAGCAAGCCACATTTGTGACAACAGCTTGTGCAATGTATCAAATTTGTATTATTTTCACAACCTTCCCATCAATACCAGTTCCCAGAAATTTCAACGCAAACTCCCACAAATCATGATGCCTAGTAGGCAATGGTTCTACCCATCGTTCATCCGCTCACAGTATGCAGCGAATGTCAATGGGCTGCCTCATATTATGCTTTCAAGCTCCTGTATATCTTAGTTATTGAATTCCCAGATGGTTGTATGTCTTTTGGGTATACTGTTCATGGAAACCAATGTTGTGTTGGACTCCAATGATAAAGACTCTTTCCACTCCGATGGATTTTAAGAAACCATGCTCCGACACTCTTCATGGTACCCTGAAGAGCTTGATCGGAGAATAGTGGTCCTAGTATAGGAAGGGAGAGGAATTGTTATGACTGCACCTCCTAATTCCATTATACTTAGAATATGAGAATACTAACGACGCCGACGCGTGTAATGGTGAGAGTCTAACGAAGCTAGAAGATGGAAGATGGAGAATGGAGAATGGAGAATGGAGAATGGAGAATGGAGAATGGAGAATGGAGAATGGAGAATGGAGAATGGAGAATGGAGAATGGAGAATGGAGAATGGAGAATGGAGAATGGAGAATGGAGAATGGAGAATGGAGAATGGAGAATGGAGAATGGAGAATGGAGAATGGAGAATGGAGAATGGAAGATAGGAAGGGTGCTCTCTTACCATCGCCATCTCATCTCACATCATTGTGACTGACGTAACTTGAAGATTATTAGCCAAGTCTAGTCGTATATCCATATCTGGAATTACATAATTACTAGTAATATCTTGGGATAAAAATACTTTAAAGTCGGGCATACGAGCGATACCACAGGTAATAGCTCTACATCAAAAACCAGTACGAGTAGTTAACTGATTGAAGCCCCCACAACACTAACATTCAAGGACTGCAAGGACTAGTTTGGTGGTCTACTCACAAGCTCCAAGCATACCTGGGTAGTAAATATACCAGAAACAATAAATTTACGCGCTCTGGATAATTATATAGAGTTGATATACCTAGCCAGTACTCGAGTAGAGTTTCAGTCGAGAATTAAGGAATGAATGATCGAACTTTCCTTTGGAAATCATGGAAGATGTGATTTTACCTCACCTTGCCTCTTGTGTCGGTAATATTCTAATATTGAAATTTGCTGGCTGGATCAATATTGATGTTCAAGATGAATGTAGGTTTATTTTATAAATAAGGGAAAGGGTAGAAGTATATATGTGTAAGATTATGTTTGGTTTGGTTTGATTTCTAATGGTTTGGTGATATTAATTAGGTTTTTAGATCTGATTTGGGGGATGCTGTAGTGTGATGGAGAATGTATGTAAGATTATATACCAAGGTAGATGATATATCCAATGTTTTTGATGTATGGGTGATGGTGTATAATAGACGTGGTGATGGTATGGTGCGATGACTATCGAGGAGTAAATTTGTTTTGCTTTTTCGAGTTATCCCGCGCACTTAGTTGGGGTACGAGGATTAGATTTTGTTGATTTGGGGATGGGATTACTAGATGGGGATGAGACGGGATAGAATAGTGATTGTGGGAACTGGATGGTGTGGTGATATATATTCCTCTAATAGTCCGGATATTCAAATATGGAGTAGGGACAAAGAGCTCCCGTTATTTTATGATCAAGTCAAGGGATAGATATAGCAGGGTATGACAGGGTGCTTGAATATATAAGATTGCAGATTAGTAGATAGGACATTGATGATTGGTAGTCCAATTGATAGTAGGGATATATAATAATATAAGGGTCTTAGCCAACTTCAGCTTTTGTCATGCACACGCTCTCACCCGATACAGTTTTGGTATAAAGATATAAAGTAAACGAACGGCACGTCTCCCATAACCCCATTTTATCAGATGCACCTAGGAAAGTAATAGGCTCATATATAGAGATATCTCGACTCGTAATCACAACCTCAGAATCAAGCCTAGTCTTGTAAGCTTAAAAAAAACTTCATCAAGCACTCTTTTATCACATTGTGGGATTTCCTTCATATGATCATTTCTCGCTCACTACAGAATCAAGATCCTCTATACCTCCCCAAGCAAAGCGGAGAGGCAAGCTGTAAACTATTACCCAATTCAATCCAGCAATTCTGTATCTTCACAATGAAAAGGTCACCAGGTTAATCATGTTCATCCCATCCTCATGGATGAACCAACCTTATCTTTCCTACAGTTCATAAATAAACGAATTATAAAATACAAATTACGGGTAGATTATGATATATATGAATTATTCGAAAATAAACCTCATAAGGCCGCAGCTAACGGATTTCTATAGCTCGACTTACTCTTATAGGGATAATATGAAACTGTACATGACCTACACCAGTAGAACATTATAGTATTTTTTGGGCAAATAATATCGAATGCGAAGCATTAATTACGGGATATTACGAGTTTGGGAAAACCTTCGCAAAAATTATGCTAGATACTAATAAGACCCTTCAGAAGATAATCCATCCATCATCCAGAGTGTGACCAAAAGGGTGTTTATAGACCAGCAATTGTATTTAACTTAGAATCTACAGGTGAAGAGCACCTGTAGATGGGGATAGCTATTCTATATATACACAAATGAATAGCCTAGCCGCAATGGCTAGGCAAAAAGAAGTCATATTTATTCCTCCAATGATCTTACTTTACCGATAACCATTGATACCTAGTACTTGTCCGGATCTGATCCTCAGGTCACCTAAATCGTATACTAATCTCGAGTAATCGTATCATGTGTGGACATGGTTAATGTACCTGAGGTTTCTTATATAATAAGGGTGGGAGGAAAGCAGGGATTTCCGTCACACAGAGCACGTTCTGGGACGCTGTGGACGGAGCTTCATATACGTATATACAGCATGCGATACTAGCTATATATCGTGATATAATTATAGATCTTGGAATAAGAAAGTCTAGTACTACCTCCTCTTTTCGGCCATCTTTTTATATCAAAAAATTATTATTATTTATATCTTTTAAGTTAACAACTTTATAATAAATGAATAAAATTATAAAATTATAAAAAAATCTTAACTTTTCGGAGTTTATTATTATATAAATAATAAATATGTAATTCAAATTTTAATATCAAATTATATTTATAAATAAAAGAAGTTATAAAGATTAATTTTTATTATTTTTGATATAAAAAAATAGTTTTTAAAAAAGTGATTTAAAAGAGAATATTAGATTTATATATAAGTCTTAAATACTTTAAAAACTATCAAATAACAATAATCATTCGAATTATCATAAACAATCTATTAATTCATAATATTTACCACTTATTATAGATAGATACTATTTTCATCTTTTCAAAAGATCAAATTAATCCTTCTACTTCTCAAATCACTACTCTATTATAAATCAAATCTCTCGAATTTCCTCAGTGTGTATATTAGAATTACTATATCCTCTCTTCAAAGTTCAACATCGAAGGATTATAATATAGGTAAATTATTCATGTGGAGATACTCGTCTTTTTTCTCTTTTTTATTTGCTTTTAGCAAGACGCTTGCGAGTTCTACGAGTTTAGCAAATCTATATACTAGTATAATGAGAGTCTTTAAAATATAATATAATTCGATTCAATTCGATTGAAATCAATTTGAGGATTTCATTCTAATAGATAAACAGTTAAGAAGCAAAAACCCAAATCAAAATAACACAAATACAACATAGAAATTCCCAAGATTTTAAAAAGCAGAACTATTTAGACAGACTATATTTCAGAGATAGTCCACCCACTCAATATATAAATACCACATGATCATACAAAAAACCAAGAAGAAACCCAACACTACAATACACTACACTACTCTAACCCAGCTCGCTGGGAGACTTTTTCGAAAACTTATATTCCACGAGAAAGAAGCTCTCTGTATATTTGTATTGCAAAGGATGGGGAAAAGACAAGATAATATCTCGATTTTGCTCTCTTCATGAAGAACCATAAATATATTCTTGAAAATAGGACTCAAGTACTGATGTTACCGATAGGTCATGATATCGCTGCTTTTCTGACTTGGCGTAGATATTTTATCAGAGTATATGGAAAAACTCTTAGGAGTAATGCGGGGATAATGAGCGAAGACTGATGTATGAGTCTGTGCAATATGCAAGTCTTCGAATGAAATTTAACTTTCTGCATAATATTGAAATGAGGTTATTGACTGGAAAGACACTACCAAGTCTCCAGTTTGAGATTCAGCAGGTGGATTGGTGGTGATGGTGATTACTAGTCGTACAACTCCTGAATTTCGATCGATGTATCGTTGACGGCCCTCTCAATCTCGTGGCGTCATTCTTCGACGAAAAGCATCATCCACATTGTTTGTTCCGCGGATTTCTCAAGGATAGTCAACAAGAGAGATTCTGTGGCAGCAGAACCGGCCCAAGGTGGTAGAAGTGATGTTGAGCAAATCAGACTCGACCCGTTTTAGCTCTAGTATAGAGGACAGCGCGCAAACGCGATTTCCATCGGGACAAAGAGGGTTTTTAACACCTTTACTGCCCCGTATGGTAAGATTTACATGCATATCATGTAAACCTCGATGAAGGTTCAACTGATCTGTTTCCAGTTTCCAGATCCTGTATTTTTCCTCCACTATGCGCTAAATTGACAAATTATGATGGCGTCAGCAGAAAGAAATCCTATTATGAGGTTGAAGGAGTATGCTGGCCAAGCCAGTATGTATGTGTATATTTGACAAGCAGCGGTACATCTTTAGAGGCCGGCTCACTTGAATGGCTTTACACAAAAGGTACCAGTCGCTGCAGTAATGAACACGATAGGAGGAATACTTATGAATACGAACATCCTTAAGACCCTGATGTGTGTTCTACCGGATAGGCATATATGAAAATGAGATGAACTAACTGTTCACGAAATTTTAATCTTGTATCTCTCAAATTCCTGTTCGTTCATTGTGCAACCCACTTACCCGCGTGTCCTCCCTGTGAGGATTTGGTGCTTTTGAAGAGGAAGAAGAGAGGAATGACCGTGGTAGAACCTGACCAAATTTTTAGCAATGATATTCATCGAAATATATCGAATGATGGTGGTTTGAACTCTTGACGTCGAAGACGATGTTACCAGGTATTTTGTCACGAATGATGTAGCATCCTGCTTTGAGTACCAATCTTGCCATATATGATATATTTAGCTGTACTTCAGCCCGTGATATCGTTAGTAAGTTGTGCAGCCACCATCGTAGAATTTAATTAGAAGCAATAGAGACATAATTGTCGACAGATGATCATGATCTAGTACGCAACAGACCATACAGAACGGATGTTTAGAACGAAATACCAATGGTTTGGGTAGTTTCCGAGCTTCAAAAACGAGAGGTATCGACGCTTTTAATTCCAAGAAAGACAAGCATTGTCCACTACCCAGGATATTTGGTAAGGAGCCAGCCGAAATGAGGAACTGCTCCCCACCAGGACTCATTGTTGGGAGTCTCGGCCGATGGCTTTTCCGTAGTCTTTGCGCTCCAATGTTCGAAAGATAAATACAGAATACAATCTAGATGACCTATTTTTTGATACTTGGGAGATCATTTGTTAGCAAAGTCCTTCGGCAACGGGATCCGGCCCAAAGTGACGGAAAAGGCGAGGAGATGAGTGCCTTAATTTCCAACTAGAGGACATCATGCTGCACATCGCAATTTCCCGCGGGATCAAAGGAGTACTTCCGCTCTTTTAATTCTCCTTATGGATGGATGGATGATACAGTAGTTATAGTAGGTATTTTATTTGAGATGGTGAAAAGTTTATGTAGACGATCTGGATTCAATACTGATCATGATTGAATTTATTTTGTGATGATCAAAAAACGCCATGGCGACTCTGACTCTGAAATCCCTAAAATACAGCGTAGATTCCACTGTTGGCAATTTTAGGGAGTAAAGACAACCAACCTTAATTTGACATGAACTTTTCTACCTGTTTCTCTTACATGATGTGTGTAAGTAGGTACGTACCCTAATAATAAGTAGATAATATAATTTACCAGTCAGCCTCACAGACCATGAAATAGATCAAAGGGCAACAGGATGAGGATTTTTCTTAGCGCATCATTTGGCGCGCTCTTGGAGAAAATTGAAAGCAAAAATAAAAAGATTCTGAGGCAGACTAGGTAATTATTGGCCATTTCTCTAACAATAACTGTTACCGAAATGTATAATAAATTAAATGACCCCTCGGATGTCTTGGTAATATTTCTGTTGTAGTATTGTGTTAGCAAGTTGATTGATTGATGATGGTGGTGATGATGCAATTTTGATTAGCTATTGACACACTGTACCACGTGAATGTGAGACTTACGATTACTACCTAGGGAGGGGGTATGTAGTATTTCAGTTGTAAGATCTTACTCCAAGTATTTATAGTGGCGCTTCGGTACTTGCTTTTATTCTCATGTGAATGTATACGGACGGAGTATTAGGTATTTTCTATTTACATGAGTACAACAAATCTTGATGTACAAGACATTTTGATATGTTAGAAATGACTTCTCAAAGCACTGGCTTTACGCAAAGTTGCTTCTTCTTCTTATTATAACTTATTACAAGAAACTATTGATGCCAATTTGAGATGGGCGTAAATGGATGTTGTAATTTGTAAGGGAAATCCAGGGCATTGAGCCTTAATGTACCCCATTTTTCCAAAGTTGGTTTCATCATGTATGTACCAGGGCTGTAAGAGGGAGTATGTAAGGTTACATAGTATTTACCTGGTATTTACCTGGTGTATACCTGGTCTATACATGCTATCTATGTACATTCTCCGTAATTGAGTGGATTTTGGGATTTTCTACCGAGACTCTCACTCTGCACGCTTCATCCTTCAAAGTAGGAAATTCATCATCATTGGTTACATTCAGCCTTGTCAACAAGGTTTAAATAACGCTGCGTGCCCCCGTCTGGCGAAAATGCCCTTGACTGGGACCATGTGTGACTTGCAAATTTCCCCTGTTTTTCCCCCACATTATTCGGGAGATCATCTATCATCTAATGCCTTTTTTTTGAATCATCGGATTGATCAGATTGATCAGATTTGATCACTTTGTCCAAGCCAAACATTCCAAAGTAAAATCAGGGAAAAATATGTACTTGTGTGTGGTATGACCTGGGGATGATCTGGTATGATTGATATGCTCTGGTAATGATACAAAGCAGTCATCGATCAATCAATCAATCCATCAGTCAATCAATCAATCAACCAACCAACCAACCAACCAACCAACCCATTCACTACTAAAAAATACAAGAAAAAATAGAGGTTCAATGTTACTGCTAATTTTAAGATTGCGCATATCCACCTCCCGCAGCCCAGTCTAACACCGCGTTTACCATCTGCAGGTACCTCTTCTCTCCATCCATTCTCCAAACCTGGGGGTCAGTTCATCCAAATCGTTCTACACAATACACAATAATAACCTCAACATACTTCCTCCTTTCCTTGTCACTCGTTCTTTACTTTTTCTTATTAATTCAATTCGACCAATAAAATAATGCCCACAAGGGTAATTTCTTATGATATTCAAGTCCTGGATTCTCCACTCATTCATTCATCATGGCAGAAGAAAAGAATCAACTTTCTCAAGTCTCACAACAGAAATATTCTAGATATAGATCTGTAAGACCTTTACCATCAAATACCGATCTCAATACCCCCAAACAGGATGTCCAACAAAATCAAAGTACCTCCTTATCAAGGACCAAAAGTATGTCCAGATATCGACGACCGAAGTTGGCCCTTAAATCCGAAGATTCGCCCGTTGTGCCCTCAGTACCAGAATCGCATGGCCCATCCAGTCCCCCAAATTCCACTGCGAGAGTTCTAACGACAAGGCGAACCAGTGATCCAGTTGATTCTGCGACTGGCCTACCATCAAACTATGCGAATACTAGACGCCCCATCCCAAAGCGATCGCAAACACATTTGGGTGCGACGGGACAATCACAGGACTACAATGAGCGACAAGAGAGTTATGACTTGAATTACAGTAGTGATAATGGCACAAATCAACACAAAATCCTCTCTCCTTCGCATTCCCCTCCACCACTTTCACTTCCTGTTCAGTTGAGCGATGAGGAGACGGAGAAGATCTTGGCAGAGCAAAAGCGCAAGGATTTGGCACGATTGGAAGCAACATTGGATGCAGCCGCAAATGATGCGGTCAAAAGCCCCCCTCAAAAATTCGGATTCTTCAGCAGTAAAAGACGTGCTACTACTACTACTACTACTACTACAACCAATCCTATCCCACCTGCTCCATTGAGCAATATTGCATCAATACAGCGCGCAATCGCTGATGGACCACCCAGAATTGAAGCGCCAGTTATAAATCCTATTGGTATTCAACAGGGTGGGGGAGGGGTAGTGCCGCAAACTGATGCCCCAATCTCAGCATCAAATGCGCCAGAGAGGGTAAGTCTATCATATTTAATGCAAGAGCGGGGCTGACAATCTTTTAGAGAGTTTTGATTCGTTGCAAACAGTCATCAATCAACCTACCTGTCGATGCAGATACGACGCCTATTGATATTATGAATTCCGCTGCAAACATCATGTCGGCTGATATCAATCCACGTACAGCTGTATTACTGGAATCATATACAACCCTTGGTCTAGAGCGTAAAATTCGTCGCTACGAACATATTAGAGATATAATGAATTCTTGGGACAGAGATACACAAAATGCTCTTATTGTGGAGGCCTCCGATCTTTCTGGTTACAATGAAGATCTAGAAGCGTCATCTGTACCCAATGATGCACCTCCAGATGTTACCGTGCAGCTTTATCATTCCCAAAAACCCGGTAAATGGAATAAACGCTACATTACGCTACTTTCTTCTGGTCAAATATTTGTTTCCAAAAAGTCGGGAATGGGTCTGAATGATAAAGACTCAATGAACATTTGTCACTTGTCTGATTTCGATATTTACACTCCAACAGCACAACACATTAGGAAAACTCTTAAACCTCCTAGGAAGAATTGCTATGCTATTAAGAGTCAACAAAAAACCTCAATGTTTTTGAGTACGGAGAATTTCGTGCATTTTTTCTGTACTGATGATCAAATTGCGGCAAATGCATGGTACTCGGCTGTTCAAAAATGGAGAAGTTGGTTTTTGGTGAACAAGAAGGGTGAAGGTCAGAAAAAAGCTACAAAGGCTGTGAAAGCGATGAAAGCAAGGATCCCATCAAAGTCTGGAACTGGAGTCAGAGGTGCCCAAACACATAGAATAAACGTTTCAGTGGATGAAGATCCATATATGATTGGATCATTCAAACCCTTACTTGACATGGATCGTTTCGACAGATCAGAAGCAGATGATTCCACAACCGAGGATGAGAAACCCAAGCAAGTTCCTTTCCACTTACGAAATACATCTATAGTAGCACCACTCCCTCGGCCCGCGAAAAATGGACCACCGGTAGCTTACCGAGCACCACCTCAAGAAGATGAATTTGCATCGGGTGGATTGTTAGGAAGAACATATTCCGTTCGACAGAAAGCGCAACAGGAGCGGGAGAATAGCCTCAAAAATGGGTCTTTCACAGATGGATCGACACTCCTAAATGGCAACGCTCAATCCCGAAGCCTTTCCATGCCTGCAAAATCCAAACGTCCTGAAACTGCCAATGCTGCTAATACCAGTCTCCAACGCAGTCCAAGTAGTAAAAAGCCTAAACCCCTACTGGATTTCACACCGCAATTTGAGGAGGCTCCTCAGTGGAATAGAAAGGGAAAGGGACATGGTGTAACGGCTCCTACTGGATTGTTATTAGTTGAGGCGGCTAATACACCGGATACGGGATTAATTGAAATTCCGAAAGCGAATATGGTGTTTAGGAGAGATACGACTAGTCAGAGACCAAGGACAAGTGCGAATGGAAGGGATAGAGATCATTCGGGAAGTAGAGATCCGTTTGTTAGAGGAGGGTTGGTTAGTGGAGGTGGAAGTGGAGGTGGAAGGAGCGGAGGACGTGGTTCATTGACGAATAGTGGGAAGGATAGAGGAAGGATGGGATATGAGTGATAAGATGGGAAATGGATAGTGGGAAAGGTAGAAGGGTGGGGTATGGGCGGTGGTAGGGGTTCGGGGTTGGGGGCTGTGGAAAAATGGATAAGTGGATAAGATGAGGCGTTACATTTCTTTTGTATGGGATGGATTTTTACACTTTGCTGGTTTGGAATCTGGATTCAAAACTGGGATTAAGGATGGGTTGGTTGGATAGTTGGTGGGAAATTGGTTGGTTGGTGGGTGGGATTGAATCTTGGCGGGTGTTTATGATTGATAGATACCATTGAGATAGGATAGGTTAGGTTAGGATAGGATATGTTAGGTTCGTATTGCATTGCACTTCCATTTCCCTTTATATTTATATCTTCTGCTTGCTTGCTTTGTATACTCTGAGATAGGTAGGTAGTTGCTAATCTCATTTATTGCTTTTTTGATGAATTTTTTACTTTGGTGTAGTGTTTGGTGTAAAGGGATGTGTATGGTACGCAGAGTGATGTGAATAATGGTTATATTGAATAAGTATGTTTATATTTATATCTAATATCTGGTATCTGGTATCTGGTGTCTAGTGATATAATTTATAATCGATGTTTGGAGAGAGAAGAGGAGGGAAGGGAGAGTAGAAGAGAGGACAATGA